CACCTCCGCATCCGTGCCGAGTCCTTGTGTGGTATCAGCACCGATCTGCACCTGTGTCGCTCCATCGCACGTGCGGAGCACCTCCAAATCTGTATTCACAGCGTAAAATTCGACACCTTTAAAACCAGATGCAATCAGGCGTTTGACAACATTGCCACCTGCGTCGCCTACACCGAAAACCTTAATTTTGTCACGTGCAGGTTTAGATACTTCCTTTTCATGCGCCATAGTTTTTCCTCTCTTAACTTCTTCAACCCCAAATTCCTCGCGTAGGAGTGCCCGAATTTGACTGAGCCTTGTCTTGACGGTGCCAACTGCCAGCCCGAGTTCCTTCGCGATCTCTTTGATCGTCCACATCTCTAAGTAGTACAGCACTGCTACGGCGCGCACCCGCTCCGGTAGGTGGTGTACTGCCTCTGTTACAGCCGCGCGAAGTTCCGTCTCTCGAAAACGGGCAAGCACATCCCGATCAATAGTTTCAGCGAGTTGCTCTGCGCTCTGAAGGATTTCACCTCTGGTGTGCGAGTTGGCGGTGTAGTACCTTCTGCAAGTCGTGTACGCTATCTTTCCTGAGCCAAGCACCGAAACTGCTGACTTCGCGTAAGCCTCTGATGTTTTCCCAGACTGCTACCCAAATGTCTTGAAAAATCTCTTCAGCATCGCGGATCTGACGGGAGTTTAAGACAACCAGTTGCCAAATTCTGGAGCTGTGGCGGGCTGCGAGTTGGGCGAATGCCTCCTCATCTCCGTCTTGCACAAGCTGAATGAGTTCGTCATCTGTCAGGTCTGTGTACGTTGATGAATCATATCGCATAGATAAATTCCCAATTAGATTTGCCCAATTAGACTTGATTATAAAGAGGGGATTTTTTGGGGAAAAGGTTTAAAAATTTTGTTTGAATAGCGGAATTTTGTGGACGACGCTTGTCGTAGGAAAACTTTTATCGCCGCCGTGATGCCATATCAAATCCGACTGCTGCGACAAGCACAACCCCTTTGATTATGTCTTGCCACGAGGCATCCATGTTCGCCATGCTCATTCCGTTGTTGAGGCTCTCCATGACGAACGCGCCTAAAATTGCACCGAAGATGCTCCCGCGTCCACCCATCAGACTGGCACCGCCAATAACACAGGCAGCAATGGCATCTAACTCCAGCAACCGTCCCGCTTCTGGACTGGCCTCCCGACACGTGCTGTCATAACAACCCCAGCGATCGCCACCAATGCACCCATTGTCGCAAACACCCGCAGCGTAACCCCGCGGACGTTGACCCCGGAGAGATACGCCGCTTCAGCGTTTCCACCGACTGCATATACATAACGTCCGAAACGGGTATGGTTCGCGATAAAATGAAATACGAACGCTAATCCGAATAGAATGCACACGGGAAACGGAACTCCTTTGTGATCATTCATCACGGAGATGAACGCCACAATGAGGGCAGATGTTCCGATTACTTTCAATAGTAAGGTGCGCAAAGATGCGGGTTCGGTCCCGTATTGTAGGCGTGCAATTCGCTGTCGGTAAAAGCGGTATCCGTTGATACCCAATCCAACGACCATGAGTCCCCATCCGAGTGATGACGAGAGATAGGCGTTCCCAATCGCTTTGAGCCAATTGTCTGGAAGCAGGATGGTCTCGCCTTTGGTAAACGCTAACATCAAACCGCGATACGCCAAAAATCCGCCCAATGTGACGATAAACGCTGGGATTCGCTGATACGCCACGAGGTAACCCTGCATTAACCCCATCAGAATACCGATGCAAATGACAGCGATGAGTGTCACGAGGATCGGTTGTCCCCACCACACGTGGATAATCGCGGCAATAGCACCGAGCAATCCGGCACCGTAACCGACAGAGAGATCGATATTAGCAGAAACGATGACCAAGGTCATGCCAACGGCGAGAATAGCTGTGACCGCTGCTTGACGAGAGAGGTTGGACAGGTTTCGAGTGCTGAGGAAGATGCCGCCGGTCAGCAGTGTGAAAATCACCCAAACGCAGACGAGGGCAAACACCATTGCATACATGCGGAGATTCAGATGCTTCATTTTTTTAATAATTGGGTTTTTGCCCCGATTTTTCCGTTGTCAAAATCGGGTTTTCGATGAATTTGAAGCGGTTTATCACAATTAAGTCGTTTATAGTAAAATCCAAAAATAGGTGAACACTTTAAGTAGTTAACCTCCCTCCCGCCCTTATCAGGGGGACTTTAAGAGGAAATACGTAAGTCCTATCATTATTCCGTCTTCAGGAATTACTTCTGTTCGGGTGGGAGCCTAATCCATTTTTCAAGGGCAGCGGCATCCTGAAAAAACGAACGGACGAGGGCAAATTCGTCGGGGGTCGAGATCGCACAGCGTAGCAGCCCTTCCCGAGAACCGTAAACCTCCAAATTCTCAAGCCAGATTTCACGAAATACGTCTGTATCCAGTGGAGCCATACCACTCGGCACCGCAGCTATCTTCATTACTTTAATCGCATCGGAAGTGGACATTTCTGATGAATGTGTATCCATTAACGGATCAACTAAGTGCACCTTTATGAATTCCTCCATCTCCTCTGAGTCGGAAGTAATGTCCGGTTCGTTCGCGATCAGTTCACGGAATTTGAAATAGAAGTCCATACAGATTTGGATTTGCTCATCCGTTGCCTCTGACGGGAGAATCTCTTTAAGCGCAAACAAGGTAACTGATTTCTGTTCGGTGGTGGGAACCGCATCAAGATAGGTTGAATAGTCCTTATAAGCTGTGCCGACTTGCTCTTCAAGGTAAGCCACATACGGTTGACTTGACAAAACCATATCCAAGCCATCCTGTTTTTGAAGAATTTGCGTTAGGAGTTTTTCTTGGCTTTCCGTTAAAGGTTTTTCCGCAGATTCTATCAAGAACGCTTCTCGTTCCTTAAGTTGCGCTGCCATCCCCTTCATGAACCCTACTATTTCAAAGGTATGCTTTACCGCACAACTGGAAAACACAACCAGCATCGGAAGGAGCAGCAAAAGGCAGTAGAGCAAATTTTTCTTCAGGTCTCTGTGCCTTGTAGCGACTAATCGGTTATTTCGTTCCACGGGAGTCCCTCCATGCGTGCGGGTTAATGTGCAAAGAGTTTCTGGAAATTTTTTGTCGTTGTTTCGCCGATTGTTTCTATAGAGGTGTTGCGAAGTTCCGCGATCTTTTCTGCCACAGCATGAACGTAGGCAGGTTCATTCCGCTTGCCGCGGCGAAACTGCGGGGTCAGCCATGGACAATCGGTTTCTATCAGCAGTTTATCTGCTGGCACTTCCCGTGCGACTGCTTGGACATCTTTGGCATTCGGGTATGTTACAATCCCTCCGATACCGATGTGAAAGCCAATGGCGAGACTTCTGTGCATTAATTCGACATCGCCGGTAAAACAGTGCAACACGCCTTGGATTTTTCCTTGCCGTGCTTCTAAAATGGGAAGGATGTCCATATAGGCATCGCGGTTGTGGATGACAATCGGCATCTGTATCTCTTCAGCGAGATCCAACTGTTTTTCAAATGTCTCTTTTTGCACTGGGCGCGGCGAGAGATTGCGGTAATAGTCTAATCCCATTTCGCCGAGCGCAATCACCTTTGGATGTGCGGCAAGTTCACGAAAGGTCTTTAGCACATCAGGGGTCAAGTCCTTTGCGTCGTGCGGATGCATCCCGACGGTGGCGCAGATATGCGTATGTTCCTCCGCCAATTCCACAGCACCGAGGCTGGTTTCCATATCGAATCCTATGACAAGAATATGGGAAACTGAAGCTTCATGTGCGCGTTTTAGCACTGCATCACGATCCGCGTTGAATTGGGAGAGTTGGATGTGTGCGTGTGAATCAATAAACATATTTTGTGGTCAGAGATGGTAAAACCCAACGCGTCATATCCGGTGCGGTTGGATGAAGTTTAAATAAATATTTCGATAAGAAAATCGGGGTTACAAACCCCTCCCACATTACCGATTTAAATTCTTAATCTTCACGAAACCGCACCTACCGGGTTGGAGTTAGGTTTGAACATATTCCCTTGAAAACTTACATCAACGGTGTTCGGATAACGGTCTCAAGTGTATGTGCACGGGTGGTTGTGTCACCAGAACAGGATTAGATCCGCCACATCTTCTGGGAGTGTGAGATGCTCATCCACATCATCTGGATGATTATCGCGGCGCATTTTGGTATCCACAGGACCGGGACAGACAACTGAGGCTTTTTACACCGTACGATTTTGCCCTCATTATTCGTTGTCTCGGTGAAGCCGACAACGGCGAATTTAGATGCACAATAGGCACCGCCGTTGACGTGTCCAAATTTGCCGGAGACCGAGGAAACATTGACAATGTGTCCATACTTCTGTGCACACATGTGGCTGAAGACGGCTTGTGTGCCGAGGAACACGCCCTTGAGGTTGACTGCCATTGTCAGGTCCCAATCTTCTTCTCGGATCTTCGGAATCGGGTTGTGGATTGCGACCCCTGCGTTGTTGACAAGGATGTCCACCTTACCGAAGGTGTCAAGCGTTCGGGCAACCATGGCATCGACATCCGTTTTCAGTTGGATATCGGTTTTGATGGGGAGTGCGTGTCTGCCGAGCTGCCTCACCTCTTCGGCAACAGCGGTTATCTCGGTGTCGGTCCGTGCGGCAAGCACGATGTCTGCCCCTTCTTTGGCAAACGCTAAGGCAGTCGAACGACCGATCCCGCGCCCGCCACCTGTGATAATTGCGATACGGTTTTCAAGTTTCATAATTTTTTAATTATTCGCAAGGCGTTAAATCAGATGGTTAGTTTATCAAAGGGTTCTACTCATATCCGCCTGCGCCGTTGTTGCAGGCTACCATCTTCGGTTAAAGATTGTAACATACACGCTAATCATCGCAACTCTCCCTCTTATGTGCACGCAAAAACGTAGCCCGTAACGAAGTGGAGGGCGGATAGGAGAAAAGCACGTTAAATAGGAAACTCACTCCATTACCCCGCAAGGTATAATTAAAATATTTGATAGGGCGCGAGTTTCTCTTTATTGAACAGAATGCCGTGTCCCGGACGTTCAGGCGGCGAAAAGTGTCCGTCGTTGAGTGTCAAGGTATCGTCAAGGACCGGGTCAAGCGAAGGGATATACTCAACAAAAAGCGAATGCGGCACTGCTGCAGAGAGATGAACGTGCAAATCCATCAGGAAGTGTGGCGAGACAGAGAGCCCAAAGCATTCCGCCATATGTGCCACCTTCATCCATTCAGAGATACCGCCGACGCGGACAGCATCGGGTTGTAGGATATCCGCCGCGCCTTGTGCGATGTATTCCTGAAAGACGTATTTATTGTAGATGGTTTCGCCAACAGCGATCGGGATAGTCGTTTTCTCGCGCAGTGTCACATGGCTGTCCACATCGTCTGCCTCGATCGGTTCCTCAAACCAGAAGAGGTCTGCTTCTTCAACACGACAGGCGAGTTGAATGGCTTCGCGGGCGTTCCACTTCATATTGGCATCGATCATGAGATAGGGTTCCTGCCCGATCGCCTTTCTGACAGCGAAGACTCGTGCCACGTCTTCATAGAGACTGTCTCGTCCCACCTTAATCTTGATACCTTTGAAACCTTGCTCTACAAATTCCACGGATTGCCTAACGAGTTCCTCCTCGGAAAGGTGTAGCCAGCCACCATCTGTATTGTACACAGGGACAGCGGGTTTTGCCCCACCGAGGAGTTGGTAGAGTGGCAATCCTGCGCGCTTTGCCATGAGATCCCAGAGGGCGATGTCGACCGCTGCCATACCCAAACCAAACGATGCCACCTCTGCCTACCCAGTGTGTCTCCATCCACATCCGATTCCAAATTCGGTCGATGTTGGAAGCATCCTCTTCGAGCAGGATAGGTGTGAGGTAGGCATCCATAGTCTGCTTAATCGCCTCTCCACCCTTACCGATAGTGTAAGAGAACCCGGTCCCCACAACGCCATCTACATCTTCAATCTCAATGAAGGGAAATTCCATAGAGACGAAAGTTTGAATGGCATCGACGCGTTCAACTTGGGGTGGGATGTCGTATAGAGATGTCCGAACTGCTTTAATTTTCATCGGATTTTGCCTATTGCTTTAAGTTCTCAATCATCGTCAATAAATTTTCGATACAGATACGTGAGGCTTCCTCACCAGCCTCAGAAAAGGCTTGGCCTGCGGGACGGTTGAGGATAGCCTCGTCAATTTTCAGTGAGGATCGCCAATGCGTTTCAAGGCAGAGGTGCCCTTCGTAACCGTCGTCAACGAGGGCTTGCAACTGCCCTTGCCAGTCAATGATGCCGGCACCGACCGGAACGGATTCTATCTCGCCGGTATCAGGGTTCGGACCTGCGTCCTTGAGATGTGCGTGGATCATCGTCGGTTTCATGCGATTGTATGCATCGGGATACGGGGTCTCGCCACCCTTTGCGTGTGCCTCATTGGCAGGATCCCAGATACCGCGGATATTCGGAGCGTCAATCTGCTCGATAAATTCCGCTGTAAGTTTGGCGGTACGGAGCGAGGTGGTGGATTCGTTTTCCATGCCGAGGACGATGCCTTCACCGTCTATCATTCTGCGCGGTTCATCGTAGGAGGCGATAATCTCATCCCATCGTTCCTCGGTTTCACCGGTGTCCCAGAAGACAAAAGTACGGATGAGATTTGTATCAAACGCCTTTGCTGTCCGGATGCACCCTTTGAGTATATCGAGATGCTCTTTCCGTTCTGCCGCGTTGCCGATATCGCATTTAAAGAACGGAGATGCGATACCAATAATCTTGATGTCGGTGCCATCAAGCAAGCGTTTTATCTCGTCGATGTCGGTATCGGTGAGTTCATGCGGGAGTTTGTCCCAGACAGAGCGAATTTCGATGGAGTGTAGGTTGAATTCTTTTACAAAATTGACAACGGTGGCGAAGTCTTGCGAAACTTCGTCGCCGATAACGCCGAGTTTAAACATAGTTGTGTCTCCTTTGAAACTTTTCCGATATGTTAGCACAGCGTGGTGTTAATAGCAAGCAGGATTTTAGGCGGCAGTCAGCGATCAGCAATCAGCAATCAGCGATCAGTAATTGGCAGATAGAGATGGAAATTGGAAAGAGCCACGTTCGCCGGGTAGGGATAGGGCGAGGTTGAAAAACTCTCCAGCGAAGGAAGAGTAGAAGGCATTTTCCGTTATAAGGCGAGGTTCGGAAACCCTGCCAGCAAGGAGATGGAGCGCGACAGGGCCTGAAAATCAAAACTGATAACCATAACAAATTGGCTTGCAATGAGGGCAAAAAATGTGCTACAATAAGATTAATCGTAGCGTTGCATAGAGAGGAGGAAATAATGAATTACGCAGAATTGTCGCTCCCACAACGTCAGAGAGAAGAAATTCATCGGATTTTATCCAACGCTTCCAATAGAGCCGGTAGTGTAGATCGCGAATCTATATTGCGAAGCCTCCCAGAACTCACCAGTGATGACGCAGACATCCAAGCATGCTTTGCGGACATCGCCATCCCCTTGTTGAAAGCCTCTATAGACTCACCCAACCCTGAAGCCGCTTTAAATCGTTTTTCACGTTTTGCAGAAGCATCGTTTAACCGCAAATCGCTCTATCAATTGTTGCGAGATGCGCCGCATTTCATACGCCCCGTCATTTTAAGTTTCGGTGCGTCCACCTATTTGTCCGAGATCCTAATTCGCACACCTGAATATTTCTATGACATCATTGATCCGAATGTGATTGGGACGCAGAAGACTTCCGAGATGATGTATCAGGAACTTAAGCAATCAATTTCGCGGTTCGCTTCGGTAGAGCAGAAACTCCGTATCCTGCGTCGATACAAACGACGGGAAACGCTCCGTATCGGACTGCGCGACCTGCTTAAGGCGGCAGATGTTGAAACAACGACGTTAGAGTTGAGTAATTTGGCAGAAGCCGGCACTGCAAACACTGCTACGAATCGGCGTGACCAGATATGAAACCGAAGTTCGGGACACCGCTCAATGAAGAAGGCACTGCACCGTGTCGTTTCGCTATCATCGGGATGGGCAAGTTAGGCGGCTATGAACTCAACTTTAGCTCCGACATTGACCTTATTTTTGTGTATTCGGATGATGCGCACGTACCGACATGGGGAATGACAATAGCGAGTACTTCTCACGTTTTTGTGAATTTATCATCAAGGCGATGAGTGAGATACCCCGGGAGGGCTATGTCTTTCGGGTTGACATCCGCTTGCGTCCGGAAAGTAGCGCAGGTGTTATTATTCGCTCTATGGAGAGTTACGAAAGTTACTATGAAGGATGGGGTGACTTGTGGGAACGTCAAGCTTTAATTAAAGCGCGTCCTGTCGCTGGGGATATGGCTTTTGGGGACGAGTTCATCCGCATGATTCAGCCGTTTGTCTATCAGCGTTACTTAGATGGCGTGACTCTCACTGAGATTAAGGTCAGACAATCCGACGTACCAAAGCGCGAATAGAGGAGCGGCTCGTCAGTGAGGTGCGAATCCTTGAGAAACATGTAAAACTCGGTCCGGGTGCTATTCGTGATATTGAATTCACCGTACAGTGTCTTCAGATGATTCATGGTGCCAAACGGAAGTCATTGTGTTCGCACAATACCTTGGAAAGTACTATGCGGCGTTACAAAAGCGAGTACACTGCTCAGCGCGCGGAGGATGCGGACGCGCTCATGGCGGCTTATAGGTTTTTACGTACCGTTGAGAACTGCATCCAATTGAGGCGACGAGCTATCAGCAGACGTTACCTACCAATCCAGAGAAAGAAACTGAGGGAACGGGAACTCGCCGGCGCATGGGATACCAGCACACGACAGAAACGATGCCCTGGAGGCGTTTCGAGAAGATTATCGCGTCCACACTGAACAGGTACGCGCAATCTTTAAGAGATCACAGCGACTTCGATTCAGTCCCGAAGATGGGCTTGACATCGCCGTTCTACTCTCCGAAGAGGATCCACAACAGCTGGAGGCTTTCTTGAGCAGGTTCCGTTTTGAAATGTAAGAAACGCGCAGCGTCCTCTTAAGGCAACTCGCGAACGGTGGGGGATGGTATCCAAACTACTCACCCAGCGTGCGAGCGTACCTTCTTTAACAAAACCGCGACCGACACTCCTAAACGTCTGACGTGACTCTCCCAACCCGGACATGGCACTCCGTTACCTCTCAGCGTTTACAGATAAGGTTGGTGCGCGGAGCAGTTACTACACATGTTCGCTGAAAAACCCTCAACCCTCGAAGTGCTTACCCGTGTTGTGGACGAGTTTATATCTCGCAGATATGCTCATCGCAAACCCAGAACTCTTTGATCTTCTGCACGGGTCCCTACGTTAATAGAACGCCCCCAAAAACGCTCGCTGAGAAACAATCAGAGGTGTTGCAAGGGGTCGCGCAGGCACCGAAGGCAGAATGCGTCTATGTTGCGGCGGTATAAGAATGACGAGATTTGGCGTATCGCCTTGCGGAACATCCTCGGGATAACGGCGACATTGCCGATACTACGCAAGAACTCCTCTGATTTAGCCGAGCTACTTTGCAAGCGATCTATCCAGAAATTGAAGCAGAACTCCGAGAAGCACACGGCACACCACTCGCTCCCGATGGACACCGAGTAACGTTCGCGATTATTGCAATGGGCAAGTTTGGCGGACGTGAATTGAACTTCAGTTCAGATTTAGATGTTATGTACGTCTAGTCAGCAGATGGTGAGACGACAAAAGGCATGTCGAATGTGGAGTAGTTTTTCAGCTGTCGGTTTGGAGTTTAGTAAATAGACTTGCTGGAAATCAAGGGATGGGTATCTATGAGGTCGATCTGCGGCTCCGTCCACACGGGACAGGTGGTGCGATTGCACTGCCGTTGCAGGGTATCAGAATTACCACGATAACACTGGAGAGGTTGGGAACGTCAGGCGTTAACACGCGCACGCAGTGTCGCCGGAGACATAGAACACCTCGGAAACCAGTTTTTGGAGATCGCCCATGCCTTCTGTTATGGGGATGCCCTAACGTCCAAGGAGATCGCCGAGATTGTGCATACACGCCAACGGAAGGAAGCACAAGTCACCCGCAAGACATCTACTCGGCGCAGAAGGGGTGGCAAGACGCAGACGCCTACAGCCAATGTCAAGTCGGGATACGGCGGACTTGTTGATATTGAATTGTTGTCCAAACCCTCAATTAGTGCATGGGGTAGTGAACCTCCGTGCGTGTGCAAAACACACCCCTCGCGATCGAGAGATTGCACAAGATTGGGGTGCTGACAGAGGCACAGCGTGATGGATTAGGGGAAGCGTATCAATTCCTCAGACGCGTCGAAAATGCCTTACGGATTGTCCACGATCGAGCATTGGATGCGCTTCCGAAAAATCGTGCAGAATTGGGACAGTTGGCACGCCGTCTCGGATACACGGGAGGTAACGATACACCCGCTGCAGAAGCGTTTTTACAGGATTACGGAAAGTGGACGGAAACGACCCGTTCGCTTTTCAATCAGATTCTTGTGAAGTGAACGACATAGTGATACACGTTTATTAGCCGAGAAAAAGGTAAGGTTTTAACTGGCGGTCTTCAAGTTGTGCCAGTAAACCGCGTTGGCACTAAAATACAACCCTAAGGAGGCACTCATGGTATCTGAATCGCCATTTTTTAACTCCCGCTCCCTGAAGAATGTAATCTTTTGCATAGGGGACGGTATGGGCTTTGAAGCGGTCAAAGCCGCGGGGTATTATGCTTATGGTGAAACAGGCACACTATCTTTTGAAGCGTTCCCACACCGGGCAGAAATGGCAACTTATGCAGCAGACTCACCTATGACAGACTCTGCCGCCGCCGCAACCGCTATGGCAACGGGGTATAAAGTCAACAACGGTGTCATCAGTATGGAATTCCCTGGCAGCGGTACCCCATTGAAGACGCTCTTAGAAATTTTCAAGGCACAAAACAAATGGACAGGACTTGTGTCAACTACCTACATTACCCACGCGACTCCCGCAGCATTTGCTGCACATAACCCCGAACGCAACAACCTCGCTGATATTGCGCATGATTACCTCCATCTCACTCGTCCAAACGTCCTATTAGGTGGTGGTGGGAATGGACTCACTGAGAAAGATGCTGAAGCCGCAGGATATACCGTCGTGACCGATCGAGAGGGATTGTTGAAACCTTGATACCGACACTGAAAATTGTGTCTCCGAGCAGTTCGGCGATACGAATATCCCGTATATATTTGATGGTTCTGACGATTACCACAATTATAGAGATGGTGTAGTGTAGCCATGGATATTCTTGTGTGCCCAAGATGGATTTTTCCTGCTTGTTGAGGGGGGACGTATCGATCATGCCGGACACTCTAATGACATTGAACGCAACATTTGGAGACAATTGAGTTTTCCAAGACGGTACAAAACCATTTTTGACGGCGTTGTGGGCGAGATGATACCCTCATCCTTGTCACTGCTGACCACGAGACAGGAGGCTTGAAAGCACATAAAACAATGGGGAAGGGGACAAGTCCCAGATATTCTTGGAGGCACAGGTGGGCACCACTGTCAGCAATGTACCGCTTTATGGGTGGGTGGAGTAGAAATGCTGAACGGGTGGGAGGTATCATGAACAATACAGACCTTATTAAGGTGGTGGGTTTATCTTCTTAACCAGATTTATGGCGAGATTGCGCGCCTTCTTACCAAACCCACACACACCCGTAAATTTCCTTGAGAAAACCGCGAGAACCTGCTAAAATAACGTGAGTCGATAAAAGGAACTCTACTGTATCGCAAAGTGTTAGTTTGCGCGGAATACGCCACAAACTAAAGTTTGTGGACAATTTAGTCTTTGAGACGCGGAAAACGGAACCTTTAGACGGACGAAATGTTTAAGTCGAACTAACGTTAAAATAGATGCCAATTCATTTTGGAGTAGGGAGAAAATTTATGGTTTACGGACAAGGCACACATCAATATACTGTGCAAGAGAATTGGTGGACACTTCCAGAGGGGTTGGGAATTTGGTTGGGTCCCCCGCTGTTGGTGTTGATTCACAGGACCGCGTTTATGTTTACAGTCGCAGCGAACATCCGATGGTCGTCTTCGATCGGGACGGCAACTTTATCGACTCTTGGGGCGATGATATTCTCAAGGATGCTCATGGGATTTTCATCGATGCCGACGATAATATCTATTGTACGGAACGTGACACGCACGTTATACGGAAGTTCACTACGGACGGTGAAACTCCTGATGACGCTCGGCACGCCAGATGTACCCGGTGCAGAAGGTGAACCCTTCAATATGCCGACGGATTTGGCACTCGGACCCGATGGCGAAATTTATATCTGCGATGGCTATGGCAACGCCCGCGTTCACAAATACTCACCTGACGGTGAATTCATTAAATCGTGGGGACAGCCCGGCGCAGGTCCGAGTGAGTTTAACCTCCCACATTGTGTCAGAGTTGACCCGCGCAATAGACTCATGGTTGCCGACAGGGGAAAACAATCGCATCCAGTTCTTTACCCCTTGATGGTGAATACATGAAGAATGGGTGTGACTGTTGCATCCAGACACGATCTATATTGATGAAGACGAACTGTCTATACGCTGAATTGGACCAGAGTGTCACAATCATGACGTTGGATGGCGAGGTCTTCTCAATGGGGTAGTGAACGCGGGGAGTCCGTCCCGGTGAATTATGGATGTCCACACGGTATCTGGTTGGATTCGCGCGGCGATATATATGTCGGTGAAGTTCAATCAGACGCACCGGCTCCAAAAATCATTCGGCAACGGTAGCAGCGAGTTTTCAGTACGCCTGTACGCGGTTTAGTCTAACCATCCGTGCCTTAACATTTATAACGGAGGCGAGTTGATGGTAAAAGCTATCGGTTAAGAGGTTTTCGTTTAACAAACACTATCTTGTAACCGATACCCTTAACTGAGTACACTGATAACCATACCCTCCTGTAACCGGACAACCAATAAACCAATACGGATGTTCAAATCGATGCCGACGATAAATCTTTGGATTGTAACCAACCCTAACCGCCTGAAAACGAAGTGGAAGGCGACGCTAAAGAGAAGCCTGGTACATGCGAGGTCACGGAGTTCGCAAGGTAAGTTTATGGACAGAAAGTTTCTCGTTTTTCCAGAAAGTAAATGACGGAGATTTTGACCAGGCTGCCCGATTCACCGACTATCGGGCAGGGCGTTTGGAGCAGATAAAGCTATGTAATAGACTCCTGACCAGTTCACACTTCCTAGTAAAACGGGACGACGGGACTCATCAAACACATCATGGATGGCGCGCAGAGCAGAGCACCATAATCTCCCAACGAAAGCTGGCATCGTACAGCACCCTCGTTAACGAAGATGAGATTGGCACTTGCGGCGTTGATGACGTTAAGTGTGCGCTTGTTTGTACCATTCGGTGTGGCAAGGGCGGCATTCACTGGATAGACGCGAATATTCAGAAAGTGAATTGGAGCGCATCACCCGCCGTTATACTTATGAATTAATCCAGAAGAATTACATCGGACCGGAATAGATGTGCCAGCACCGGATTTCGGAACTGGTGAGACCGAAATGACGTGGATCTGGATACTTATCTCACAATGGCACCTGACAAGCTGAATGCTACTGCGTGCGTAACAGGCAAGCCGATCGAAAACGGGATTCATGGGCGGAAGGGGCTACCGGACGTGGTGCTGTCTTCGGTTTACAAGAAGTATGCAGTTTCGCAGAGGACATGAAACCACTTGGGCTATCCCCCGGTTTACAACGAAAAAACGTCATTGTCCAAGGTTTCGGTAATGTCGGGTACCATGCCGCCAAGTTCCTGATGGAGGCGGATGCACGCATCATTGGGATATGAAGCGCAGATGGCGGCATACTATGAATCCACAGGATTGACGCATCGAGCAAAGTCATGCCAATGCACCGCGCAGAAACTGGACTCCATCCCAAGGATCCGACTGCTAAAATTCTCCATTGAGGATCCGAACGAT